GATTGGAGTGTTATATTTGATGATGGATGCCTTGAAGACCGAGACAAATGATATCCGGAAAGGGAAGGACGATTCGGATGTGGACGTCTCGTCCCAGGCATCCTACAGAAGTGCGGACAAGACAACAGCTACTGAACCCCCACGAGGTCGGTGGTTACAATGGTGGCAGCGAATGAGTCGAGCCCGCAGCCTACGAACACTTACACGAACCTGATTCCATCGTCCTTCAAACCTTATGACGGGAGCAAAGACTTCGCCTGCTGGCCCATACGCCTCAGGTTCCATTTAGATGATGTGCCACAGAATGAACTTAGCTAGGCGGTACTAAAGCACTTAGCAGACGATGGAATGGATAAGGCCCTGGATGCCGGTCTTACACGCCACACCCATTTCCAGATGCTTTGCGATCAGTTGGAGAGACTGCTTTAATCCTCACTATCCATAGAGGAGGCTACTGACAAATTAATAAAACGTTCCATCAGGAATGACCGGACGCCCCGGCACTTCGCCGACGCCTTACTCCGCCTTGCGCGAGATGCATACCCCTCATTGCTAGCCGCTGAGAGAGACCAAGTGGTTCTTTACCACTTCAAACGCGGCCTCGGGTCCCAAGAGGTGACATTTTCTCTACGGATTCGGCCGCCAGGTGACCTCAACGAAGAAATCCAGCGTGCCTCCCGAATGCTTCAGACGGACCACTAAGGACCCGATAACCAGCCACGCGCCGAATCATGGAGGGTCTCACCGGAGTGCAGACAGCAGAACAATGGCTACTGGGCCCAGAGCACATCATCAACTACCGCAGCGAGTAAATCGTGGCAACCGGCTTTTCCAATTCCGCACGCCCTACCGGGTCCCGCCGGCTAGCGCTGGACCAGGTAATACTGGGGAGAAAGAGGAGGCGCCGCGGCGGCGGCAATTATCAGAGAAGGTAAATACATTATTCCCGTCTGCACTGATAATGCGCCCAGTAGTTTACCGTTTTACACAACGATACACCTAGAGAACAAGCCTGTTACGGCCCTCGTCGATACAAGTTCCACCACGTCTTTAGTTCGAGCGGATATCTTAGACACTAAGCGACTAAACCTCGCCAGAAAAAGCAGCCAGATACCACGCCTCAAAACAGCAGACGGATCACCCATGACCACCAGGGGGACGGTTCGAGTTCGCATCTCCTTCGCTACCAGTGTTAAGGAACAAGTTTCTGTAGTCACAAACAAGATGACGTGGGACATGATACTCGGCCTCGACTTTCTTCCCACACATAATTGCGGTATTATGATTAAGGATTGTATACTATCATTCGGACGTAAGCTTTCGCCGATTCCGTCCGCACCCGTCGAGTTTGATGAATAGGCCACTTGTGCAGCCATTTCAGAGTCGGTAGCCTTGCCACCCACTAGTATAGACTCGGTTTTGCCCCCCGACGACACTGTTGCCTTTACCCATAAAAAAAGACTTGAAGCTACTCTTGGCAAAGTTTTATGATGTCGAGGCAGTTCGCGTCTCCTTACCCTTCGCCTTTGTCACGCTGCCTTCCTGACCGCCTCACACTTCCTGTCGATCCGCTGCTGGGACGCGCGAGGCTTGTCGCTAGCCTCGCGAGTGCTAGAAGCCGATCAACGCCGTTCCTCCTCTGATTGGCTGGCGGATGCTGAGACAGCGAAGGACGCACACATACGCTAGGTCTGAGCACCTAGACGACGGACACAGAAAACACAACTTGCCTGGAGAACGCGCTCGCGGCGACTGCTTGCAGAGCTTTGTGTACGTATTCCCTCAGCAACGAAGGTTGTCCAATCCAACCCGTCTTGCCTGACTTCTGATCTGAGAGTCTTGGTCTTTCGACCACACCACTTCCGACAATGTATTCGTATTGGACGATACCTCCTTAGGCCGCACCGCAGTTATTCGGCATAGCATTGACGCAGGCACGTCGAACCCCTGTGGCAACCCCCACGCCGTATTCCACCATGCTTTCAAAAGGAGGTGAGTAACCTAATCCAAACGATGCTGGCCTCGGGGATAATTCGACCCTCCAAGTCACCCTGGGCATCGCCAGTCACCTTAGTGCCCAAAAGACGATAAACTTCGGTTTTGCATTGATTACCGACGGCGTAACGCGGTCACTACCTGCGACTCATTTCCACTTCCGCGAATTGATGTCACCCTCGTAGCGCTAGCCGGAGCCCAGTGGTTTTCAGCGTTAGACCTCAAATCTGGTTATTGGCATGTAGAGGTTGAAACCACGGACCGCCCAAAAATTGCGTTTATACTGCTACAAGGACTCCTTGAATTCGAGACGATGCCCTTTGGGCTATGTAACGCGGCTGCTACATTCCAATGCCTAATGTAGTCCGTACTAGCCCACTTATACACAAAGAGCTGCCTGATATACCTTGATGACGTCATCGTGCTTGAACACATGGCCCAGCAAGACAACGAGAACCTCGCTGCTGTTCTCTCCGCTCTGCCTGATGCCGGCCTACGTCCAAACCCACAGAAATGTGCGCCGCAAAGTCACATTCCTCGGCCATGAAGTCAGCAAACAAGACTTACAGGCGTCACAGGAGAAAGTAGAAGCGGTCAGATCATGGCCCACACCGAAGACATCCCCGGAAGTCAGAGTCTTCCTTGGTCTAGCCTCCTACTTTCGCCAGTTCCAAATCCACCCTCCCCGGACAATTGTAAGGATAAAATTTCTTTGAACAGATCGACTCTTCTTTCATCCCCGTGTTTACGCCCCATCCACTTCTTACAATAAACACTTGCTATATCACTTGGCTTATCGTGTGATTGGGGTGTTATATTTGATGATGGATGCCTTGAAGACCGAGACAAATGATATCCGGAAAGGGAAGGACGATTCGGATGTGGACGTCTCGTTCCAGGCATCCTACAGAAGTGCGGACAAGACAACAGCTACTGAACCCCCACGAGGTCGGTCGTTAGAATGACGCCTGTAGGAGAACGAGCGTCGTCTTTTTACGCATTTTTACTCGCCGACAATAGTCAGCCAACCATTGTGCATTTCCTTATTATTTCTTTCCTCGGGTGCACTTTTACTAAAACCTTGCCTCAGCCACATTTATGACGGGCGCTCCTGCTAGTGGAGGAGATTCTATTAGCGCAGTAACACTTTCTTCACCAGACTTCTGGACGAATGCACTTGAACTCTACTTCTTTCGCATTGAGTTAAGTTTTTACTCTACGAACATAACCAAAGAAGTTATCAAATTTTACAGGCTGGTTCAGGCTCTGCCGTGGCAGGTTCTTTCTCAGGTACAATCATTGATCCCGATTCCCCGGGGACTAAGACAGCTCTCCTTCGACTTCACACTGCGTCTGATCGTCTGCGGTATCACCAGCTAATTCGCGAAGAGTGTTTAGGTGACTGAAAACCTACCGCACTTCTTAGAAGGATGCAAGGACTTCGTGGTGAACTCTGCATCGACAATAAACCCTTCTAGGAAATGTTCATGGGACGTCTGCCAGCTGATTTTCAAACAATTCTGGCATTTGGCTTAGAAGATCTCTCGGTCTCACGGTTAGCCGAGATAGCGGACAGGATGTTGGAGGTGCAGCGACTCCAACCGCCCTCTGTCACCCGGCTCTCCGTTTCCTCGTTACCGAGGCAAAGTGAGCAGATTGTGGCGCAGATGGCGTCCATGGCAGGAGGGATGGCGTCTCTAAAACTCCAGATTGCACACCTTACCTCTCGTTGCTCATCAGGCCGTCGTTCTCGTTTGCGACCTCTAACAGCGGATGTTTGTTGGTATCATACCAATTTCGGTGTGAAGGCTCGTCAATGTTCCTACCTCTGCTCGTTCAAGTTCAGACAGGGAAACCAGTTAACTAGAGAACAGAAGCGACCGTTTTCTCTGACTCTTCCGCCTCTGGTCGCACCTTCAGTGTCTGTGGCAGTGTGACGCGCAGACGTCTCCTTATGGATACCGGAGCCCAAATCACTGTTGTCCCTGCCACTTCGTCCGACTGTCGTTTCCCCAGCTCTGGCCTTCACCTCCAAGCTGTCAAATGCTCCCCATTCTCACTTAGAGCAGCCTGTCCATCACCCCAAACATTGGCCTTTCGTCGGTCGTCCTCCTGGATCTTTGTGATTGCTGATGCCCCTCATGCAATCCCGGCTCGGATTTCTTGCCCGGTTAGATTTCCTTCTTGACTGACGACGTTCTCGTCTCCTCAACCGCACAACTGGCTTGTCTCCCTGCGGACTAACCCCCTTTACTAACCGTAGCAACTTACTTTTTTCCGGATACAGGTATTGCTTGTCCCTGCCAGGAGCTGCTGCTTCAACACCCGAATATTACCAACCCCCCAGTTTCGCAGTGGCGAGGTTCAGCACGACGTTTATCACCATATTTGCATCGCATATCCTCCTGTGTTCGCTCGGCCTAGACGACTAGAACCGGCCCGTTTTTGGGCCACGAAGGCGGAGTTTAAACATACTGCAATTGGGGATAATTCGACCATCCGAGATCCCCTGGGCGTCCCAACTGCATATGGTGCACAAGACATCAGGCGACTGGAGACCCTGTGGCGACTGCCGTGCTCTCAACAACGCCGCCATTCCCTATCGGTACCCTGTGCCTCATCCTCAGGATTTTGATGGAGCCCCTTTCGATAAAGCGGTTTTCTCGAAGATTGACCTGGTGCGTGCCTTTCATCAGATTCCCGTGGCCCCTGAGGATATTCCAAAAACCGCCGTCACTACACCTTTTGGCCTCTTTGAATTCATCCGCGTGTTCTTCGGTCTTCGTAATGCCGCCCAGACGTTCCAGAGGTTCATTGACCATGTTATATGTGGCCTACCGTTTGGGTACGCCTACATCGATGACCTCTTGGTGGCCAGCCAGAATGCCGAAGAACACAAAGGGGGCCTACCTTGGTGTTTGAACGCCTGGACAATTTCGGCGTTATCATCAATCCCTTTAAGTGCGTGTTAGGTGTGCCCTCGCTCAAATTCCACGGCCATCATGTCGACTCTGAAGATTGGCGTCTTCTATTCTCCAAGAGGCTGAAAAAATCCCAGATTTCCCTCTACCAACTTCCAAACGTCAGTTGCAGCGATTCCTAGGCATGATTGACTTTTACTGCCTGTTCCTACCGAACGGTGCTGACCTTATGCTGCCGCTCATCAACATGCTTTCTGGTCCCGAAGGCACCCTCGATCTTACTGGCGAAAGACTGACTGTTTTTGAGAGAATCGAGAATTCGCTTGCCGGCGCCACCATGTCACGCATCCCGCTCCCAAAACTCAACTGTCCCTGATAGAAGATGCTTCGACCGTAGCCGTAGGTGCAGTCCATCAACAACACCTTGCTGGTTCGACTCGACCACTGACCCTTTTCTCCAAAGAACTCTTGCCGACTAGGACCCGCTACAGTACCTTTGGTCGTGAACTACCTGCCATTTACGTTGTAGTGAAGCATTTTCGGCATTTCCTTGAAGGTCAGGACTTCATCGCTTTCAAGTACCACAAGTCGCGGTACGTGCTCACGGTTCCACTCCGACAAGTACAATCCGAGAGAGATCGCCCACCTGGACTAAATCTCTCAGTTCACAACCAACATCCGCCAACACTGATGGCACAAAGAATGAGGTGACAGATACGCTGTCCAGGCCCTCTCTATCTTCCCCCTAACTCTTGCACGTGGCCGACCTTGACGCCATGGCGGCTGAGCAACGAGTCGGTTGTCCTGGCGACGAATCTGTTATACGTCCCCAACTCAAAAACGTTCCTCTGATCATGGATCTGGTACCACATTTTATGATATCGGGACTCCTTTTCATCGCCACTTTGTGCCCGCCTCGATGCGTCGAGCTCTTTTGAAAACTCTCCATGGAGTTTCCCACCCTGGGATCCGAGCCTCACAAAAGCTCACCGCGGAGAAATTCATCTGGCCTGGCGTGAACGCGGACGTCAAGGCTTGGGTGCGTTCTTGTTTGAATTGCCAGTGCAACAGGGTGCAACGTCACAACACACCCCCCACCAGACACCTTCCCCAGCCCCGACACACGGTCCAGCCATGCGCACCTGGACGTCGTAGGCCCCTCGCCTCCGTCCAATGACTATACTCACCTTCTTACCTGCATTGATCGGTACACCTGCTGGGCTGAAGCCATTCCTTTGCGAATGTCAGGCTGAAACCATTGTGAAGGCCCTCTTCAATCGTCGGGTCGCCATGTTCGGTGTCCCCTTTACGGTTTCGACTGGTCTGGTGCCCAGTTTGAGTCTGCACTCTTCCAAACGTTCCTCAATTTTCTTGGCTGCACAAGCATTCGGACGACGGCCTACCACCCAGCTGCCAACGGCGTGATTAAGCGCTTTCATCGTCAGCTGAAGACTGCCCTGCATGCCACAGAAGACCCAGGAAACTGGTCAGACAACCTTCTCCTTCACTCTCGGCATTCACGCAACTCTGAAGTCAAATTTGGGCTGTAGTGCAGCTGAACTAGTTTTTGGCACTACCCTCCGACTGCCAGGCGAGATGGTCATCCTAACGTCCCTTGGTGCCGACGAGACCCTTGGCAATTTTGTGCACCGTCTGCGGCAATTTATGCGCTCACTTTCCCCGGTTCCACCTCCAGCACCAACGACCGAGTCTTATGTCGAAAAGGGTTTGGACAGCTGCACTAATGTGTTTGTCCGGTGTGATCGTGTGCGCCAGCCGCTGGAATCACCATACGAAGGACCGTTCCGTGTGCTCGCACGCAATGTCAAGATCTGCCGGATCCTTCGCGATGAAAAGGAGGACGTGGTCAGAATCGATCGGGTTAAGGCTGCTGTCGCAGAGGGGCTGCCGCACCTGCTTCAAGAACAAGACTGAGCTTACCTCCTACCCCGTGATTCTCCACCTTCCCTATCCATGCTCCTCCATCTTCCCAATCCTCTTCTACCCCACTTTCTCCCATCGCATCCGACCCCAACTCTTCTAATGCCACTGGCATTCGCATCACTCGTAGCGGCCGTCGCGTCCACTTTCGCGACCACCTTATCACTCTAGTGTATTAACATTACATTTACCTTCAGTCTAGGCGGGGTGTTGTGGCAGCCCTTGTCATATTCTGTTTAAACACAACTTTTTATAATGATTCTATTTTTCAAGCAGTTCCTAAACTAGCACTTATTCAAATTCGTTCAAGTTGGTGTTCACGTAACGGTTACGCGGATACTCCGACTGGTGAGGGCTTCTGTTTCATAAAAGGAAATGTTCAACCATTGCCTTTGTTCTTCTCTGGGCGGCGCTGACAGGTAAGTCCACTCTGGCGTGGTCGTTTCACTTGGCTTCTCTCGACTTGGTCTTAACGTGGGATCGCGCTATCGATTGACTAGGCCCGTTAAAACCTATGGTCATCTCATGCATGTGAGATGTACGCCGCCCAATCCGCGTTGTGTGAAATCTTGCTGCTTGTGTTTGGGGGACCAGGTCGTACATGTGGCGCGCGTAGACAAGGTCACTAGATATGTCAGCCACCGCGCCTATTCCCCGCATCTGTCAACTGACTGGTTCAAACAGTGGTTGGGGTCTGGGAATGAGAAGGCAGAGTGAGATCGACGACTCAGCGCCTTTTCCTCACAACAAACAATCGGACGCGCTTGAAACTATCACGGCGAGTTAAAAGCCATGGCCTGGAAGGTTGCCAACTGATGGGACAACTTGGACCTCACAGTCGGACCAGTGTTGTTTGCTTGTGTGGAATGGAGTCAGGCTGCAGGGGCTCCCTCTTAATGTGGCCTTTATGGCACTCCCACTGAGTGGGATCCGAGTCAGGCTTAGGCGGCACGCCTAGATGCGGCTTCGGCCGTGTCAGCCAACCTTCAGTTGTTGGTTAAAATCCTGGTCATCTGCTGTGTAAACCAGGGTGTATGGAGTAAAGCGTCAAGTTGTGGGCTCAGCCGTGCCATCCACCTGTGCCCTCCCCGCTCCGGTCTTCTCGACTTTGTTTTGACACGTGGCTCAGGCGGGGGAGGAAGCAGAATGCGGTAGATGCTGTGCAAGTCTGCCACTACTACAAACTAATTCACGCACGAGTCACTGTCACTGCTCCACCTTGCTGTGGGGCACACAGTGGACATCGTGTAAAACGACGGTCGAACTGTCATATCCCAGACCACTTGGTGTTCCTGCCAGTTAACAGTTCAACCCCGTCCTAGACTTACCTAAAGAGAAAAGTAGCCATGTTAATATATCCTTCGACACTGGGGTCAGGTCAAATAAGCCATCACCAGCAGTGCAAATAACGAAGAATATACCCATACGCGAACAGTCAAGCTCCGAGAAGTATGGCTTACAAACTATCATATCCGCCTTAGATCCGGACAGGATGCTCTATGCAGAAATAGGGCGAACTCCCGGCAAGCGAAAAGTAGTCACTAATTGCTTCGATATATTAACAAGAGCAGTTACGCGTGCAATCGAATTGAAAGATTCGGCGGCGTATCTTTGAAGAAAACGAGCTCTGGTTGAAAGAAAAGGACTTTTAACAACTTGTTTAATAGCACGTGAATGTGGAAGAGAGCGAATTGTGAAACGGTGGAAGAAAATCTGATACGAGGACAAACTACAGAGCGTGACCGATCCCATGAAATTTTGACCGAAATTCTGAAATGCGTTTTCCACTGGGAAGGATTACTTAGGTGGGGTTGTAACATTGCTTATCATGGGAAATAAGTCTATAGTATTTCGGACTCGACATGATGTCGGCTTTTGAATGCACTCCCTTTCGACCTCCTATAGAAACCACACTTTGTAAAAACTCACTAATTAAGTAGCATGCAGTTTTCGCATTGATTTTCGATGGTTCTATAAATTTAAAAATATTTTATAGAAAACATGGACAGTAATGGGCTTTCTTTTACTAGTTTGGTAGGAAATAATATTGTCTTTTTACTTTATACTCGAAGAAAGGTTACTTTTCGGTTTCTAAAAAGTTTCTAATTATGGAATTTTTAAGACCGTGCGATGTCCGTACGTACA